ATATATTTAACTCACATCATAACTTACCTAAATAATAATAATTAAAAACAAATGAAAACCACAGATAAATTAAATTTTAAAAAAAAGATACCCACAACTCCATTTTAAATAAATTGAAAAAAAAAATATCCGAATAGAAACACACAAAAATAAAAATAAAAATAAAAAGATCTATCTATTTATCTATCTATATCCAGCAAAAGGGAGTTTTTAACCCCCAAGGCCTATGGGAGCTTCAATATTCCAATTTGAATTTTTTTAATTTTTTATTTAAAAAAAAAACTCAGCATTTATTGTTTGGTCAAAATCCCCTGATCAGCATTTAAAATCCCTTCATACAAATAATTATAAATACAATTCGTGTATAGTTGCTGTAGTACCATTTTCAATTTCCTCCATACACTATAGTTAGTGATAAGAAAAAAATCTTAAAAAACATAATTTATATATTAAAAAAATCTAAAATAAATATAAATATGTATAATTATCTCGTGCATAGCACGAGTGATAAACTAATAAGTTATAATTAAAAAGTAGATAATATACACTTTTCTGTACTTGTGAAGAATTAGGCTTTTTAGTTTATTTATTAGTGGGTGTTTGCAACCTACTTTTCATAAAAAAAATTTCTAAATTTTTTAGTGATCCTTTTTTTTTAAATTACGTTAAATTTTTTTAATTTTTTGGCCTATCCTGTGTAGACAAATCTAAAATGTAAAATAAATAAATAAATAAAAATTCAAGAAAAATAAATAAATAAATAACTTTTTTTTTTGTCTCTCTATTTTTTTTTTTAACTTTTTCAGTCCGTCTAATTGAGTAAAACTCAAAAATCTAAAGTTTTTTTTGAATTTTTTTTAAAAAATTACTAAAAATAAAATTTAAAAAAAAACTACAATAAAAACAAATCACAAACACCCACATAAATAATTTCTTCCTAACAAACACAAATGACACTTAATAATTTAACACAAAGTTTCAAAAATTTAAAAATATATCTCTACTATTATTAAGTGAAGGCCTAAATTAATTTAGTGAAACTTTCTTCTCCTTATGTTACGTGACAACTTTATATATGCTAAAAAAAAATTATTATATATAGCATAAGTAAGTTTTGAACCTAAGACTTTAAGTTTCATTAAGAACATACTTATAACTTAAATAATATATATATATATATATATTATAACATTAAATTTTTTACTATTAGTTAGCTACATTGCACATGTACGCGTGTTTTACCTACTAGTTGAGTTTTGAATAGTCTGAAGTTATGTGCTTGATTATGAATTTTGGATGGAATTTTAATTTTTTTTTATTAAAATTATAATTCCAAAAGAGAATCAGGCGAGGCTAAGGTGTGTGTGGACGGCTGAGATTGGTTAATGGACTTCACCAAGACGTGTACGGCTGGTGATGTGCTGAATAATAGTGATGGAATATGACTTTTGGGTGGACATTTGGACCTAATGCCACCTTAACCGTATCATCTTTCTTACTTCCCTGGCCGTGCAAGGCACTACCAAAACATGGTCCATCGTCAGGTACCCTAGTTAAAGTGAGAAATTATTCAATGCCAAGCTCATGCTTTTGGTAAAGGTCAAATATAGTTGCGTAAATTACACTGACACCCCTCCATTATTCTGAAATCACATTGTCAACCTTTCTATTAACACCATAAAAGGAATAAATTACATGAATACACCATCTAAAATTTGCTTAATATTCGGATTATCTCTATAGTTCTAAGAATTGCATTCCACCCATTCAAGTTTCCTATCGTATGAAAAATGACCCACTTTATTAATAAATCATTAAGTTAATTGACATTTTTTAATGATATCATAAATATGTTTTAAATAACAATTCATGTAATTTTATTGTTTTATGAGAGAGTTGTTAGAAATTTCATTTTTTTCTATTAATTTTGTCAAATAAAAAATTATGGCATTAGAATAATTGTAATTTTTAAAATCAAAGAGGACAATCTGTATTTTAAGCAAATTGGTATATTTGTATTTTACCTTAAAAAAGTAAGGATAAATTACAAATAAATTGCTTGAGATTTATTTAGAATACCAATTACCCCATATGATTCTAAAAATTATATTTCACCCTTTAGAATTTCTAATCACATAACAATTAACTCATTTCATTACTTAATCATTAAGAAAATTAATAATTTTAATGATATCAGCAATATATTTTAATTAACAGTTCTAGTAATTTTATTATTGCATAGGAAAAAAGTTAGAAATTTTATTTTTCTGTTAATTCTGATAAATGACAAATTCTGATAAGGGTGTGTTTATAATTTCTAAAACTACAAAGAATAATTTGTATTTGCATGGATTCTGAAATTAGTCGAAATACATGTACGCTGACCCAAACATTCGGCCATAAAAAAATTTAAAAAAAGAAATTGTATTTTAATCAAATTTTAATAATGTATTTATAATGTACCTTAAAAAAATAAGTAAAGTCACCGGTGCCCTCATTTTCTTTATTTATCTTTACAATGGGTTATAACTCCCTCATTGATTAAGTAAAAAATAGCCCTCCACAAAAGCACTCTTCTTCATTACCCCCCGCACCTACTCTCTCACACACGTACATACAAATTAGAGTACCATGGCTCATTGGTAGACAGGTTTCGACTGATACTCTGTCCACTGCCCAATCATCTACAAACCCCTTCAACCAGGGACGGATTTAGAATTCTTACTATGAGAATGCGAAAGTATGACTGAGAATGCAAACTCTTATAATCTTAAATTACTTTTAATCTTTTATATAATATATGATATTTAAAAAAATTTAAGGGTGCGATCACCCTTTCCGACGCTAAATCCATCCTTGCCTCCAACACAACCACTCACCATGCTCACCCCAACACCACAATGATTAAACGTATCAACCCTAAGTCTACCACATATCAACTGCAATACACCATTCACAAAAGGCTTTTACCAAAGTAATATAAGAAAATTTACATATGTTTTTTGTTTTGTAAAATTATTGTGTTTGGCTTATTTTTTTCTACAAAGAAAAATATTACAAATGCAAACGTGTCAGTAAGAATTGAAAATTTTTTACAGATTAAAATTGAAGTCAATTATCAAACAATTGTTTTGACAGTTCTTTTGCCTCAATGAAGAAGGCTTCAAAATTACCAAGTGTAGAAAAAAGAAAAATTAAAAGAAGAAGAGAAGGAGATGAAGAAGATGATTGAATGAACAATCAAAGTGATTGAGTAAATAATCAAAATAACTATTAATTTACATCTACTCCTATGTTTCGAAAAGGAAATGCAGAAAATAAATATATGTTAAACTACTTATAAGATAGGAGAAATGACAAGAAAAAAATAAATCAATTGCCTTTGATTTGAGTTGGATGGGGGCTTTACAATATAGTTATGAATAGCTATTTATAGACAAAAACTTGTAGGAAAAAATACTTAATAACAACCCTATTCTTCCATATTCATTCTTATCTTGTCATCTGTCCCTTCATTTCATACTCTATGATCTTAACTACCAAAAAAAAAAAAGCTTTCTCAGGTTTTTTGAAATCCCGGTAAAAATGAAAAAAAAAATGCCGTTAAAAGTCTTCCCGGCATTTTTTTAGGCATTTTTCACAAACCCCACAAAGCTAAGGTTGGGAATATTTCCGGCCATTTTTAAATCCTGAGAATATTATCGACATTTCTTTTCAGCGTTTTAAAATACCGGGACCGATAGCATGATTTCATTTCCTCTATCATCTTTTCACATGTGTTAATATTTCATAACTTCTCATAACCTCTAAGAGCATCTCCAATAGTTATTGCTATTTTGCTTTTGCTATTGCTATTGCTATAATTTGGCAATGAGTAGTGTTATTTTGCCAAATTATAGCAATGGTGCTCCAATGGTCATTTGCTATTTTTGGCAAATCTCAACCAACTTTCCCTCTAAGTTTGTAGGTGTTGTTTGGATATAGGTTTTTTGTGATTTTATTTTTATTTATTTTTTATCTTTTGTGACATTTTTTTATCTGTTTGTTAAAAAAATTATATATTTATATTATTCCCAACTAGACAAATATAAAAAAAATTGAAAAATTGAAAAAAAAAATTGTTTGATTAATTCATCCCACCAAAAAACATATAACTACATATTTAATAAATTTTTTTAATTACACATAAAAAATAAACAATCACCAATTACTACATATTTAATAAATTTTTTTAACTACACATAAAAAATAATTTTTCACCAATTACCCACCAACAACCAACCACCAACAACCATCCATTATTAACCCAGCATTCATTCACTCACATCCATCTACCCAACAACCATCAATTATTCATTCACCCACTCAACAACCACCCATTATTCATCCACCTACCCAACAACCATCTATTATTCATTTACCCACCCAACAACCACCCATTATTCATCCATCCACCCAACAACCATCCATCATGCATCCACCCACAATTTTCTCTATAAATATAACATAAGGTTTTCTACAATTTTCATATTCACCTACCTATCATTTTCATATCTTCAAAACTCTCTGTATCCACCAAGAAGATTTTCTACAATTTTCATATTCACCCACTCACTCATCCACCTACAATGAACAATTTGAGTAAAGCCATATTAAATGGAGATTTTGATGAATCTTCATCATCTGATGATGATATCATCATGATGCAACTATTCACAGTGCAACAACAAGGATTACAGATGTTAAGCCTAGACCAACAAACCAGACGTGTTGGTTCCATAAGTGGTCGTCGATACATTAATCGTGAGAGGGTCAAAGACGACGAACAAATTTATAGAGATTATTTTGCAGATAATCCTATCTATCCAGAGGAATACTTCCGAAGACATTTTCGAATGAGGCGGTCATTGTTTGTTAGTATCTTACACGATATTCAACAAGTGAATGACTACAACATCCAAACCCGTGATGCCACTGGTGCTCCTGGATTATCCGGTGTACAGAAGATGACTGCAGCACTTCGGATCCTCCAATACAGCGTGCCTGCTGATGCTGTAGACGAGTACATTAGAATCGGCGAAAGTACTACAATTGCCGCCTTAAATTTTTTTACCAGATCAATTGTTGCTACCTATGAAGCCGTTTACTTAAGATCTCCAAATGAAGCAGATGTCGCCAGATTATCGCAAGAGGGAGAGCAACGCGGGTTTCCTGGAATGTTAGGGAGTTTGGATTGTATGCACTGGCGTTGGGATAAATGTCCAAGTGCCCAAGCCGGTGCTTACACTGGACACTATCACAAACCAACAGTTGTACTCGAAGCAGTTGCCTCCTATGACTTATGGATTTGGCATGCTTTCTTTGGCATGCCTGGCTCTCTAAATGATATTACTGGTCTTGACAGGTCGCCTTTATTTGCTGAATTAACTAGAGGGCGTGCCCCTGCTACCAACTACACCATCAATAATCACGCATACACCATGGGGTATTATCTTGCTAATGGTATCTATCCTCGTTGGGCAACGATTGTGAAAACAATATCTCAACCTCAAGGCGCAAAGAGACAACTATTTGCGAGGATGCAAGAGGCATGTCGGAAAGATGTCAAAAGGGCATTTGGAATGCTCTAAACACGATTTAATATTGTCAGCGTGCCAGCTAGAGGTTGGAGTGATGAGGATCTGTACTACATCATGAAGACGTGCATTATTTTGCACAACATGATCATTGAAGACGAGCGTGATATTCCAGAAAATGAACGCAGTGCAGCACAACTTGAGACTGATACCAGTAATTTAGGCTGTCAAGTGTCACGCGATCCAAATGAGGAGTATGCTCAATTTATGTTGAATCGGCAAAGGATTAGATCGGTTGAAGCCCATAATGTAATTCGTAATGATCTAATTGAACACTTGTGGTCCCGAGCTGGAGAGTTAGATTAAGTTTGTATTTTATCTTTTTAATGATAGTTAATGTCATTTAATGTCAGTTAATGTCTTTTTATTCTAATAAAATGTTCTTCATTTAATGTCTTTTTATTTTACAATGTCTTTTAATGTTAGTTAATGTCTTTTCATAAAATGTTTTTTTTTTACATTGTGAAGTACAAAATACTCAAAAATGTTTCTTAAAACAACATGAAATTTCATTACAACATAAAAATTACATTGCAAATAAAGACTAACAATTACATCAAAAAATAAATGATATTGCAAAAAATAAAGAATAACATTTATCCCGTAATTATTCATCATGAGGTAGGGGGAAATAAAAATTTGGTCTGCTCACATTTGAGGACCACTTGGCGAAAATCTCATTTTTTCGCATTGTGTAATACGCTTTCATCTGAGGGTCCAAATGAGAAATGTCCGTAGTCATTATCATATGTTCTTCCTTTTTCATCTCATGTTCTTGTCTTCTGATCTCGAAGTCATGTTTTTTCATCTCAAGTTCTTTCATCTCCTGCAGTGCTTGAATCCTTTTTTCTTCTCTTTCATCTTTTTTCTTTTCCTTCTCAGCAAGGTATTGGTTAAATGTGTCCAATTGTGTGCTCATATTTTGAACTTCAGCTTGAACAACTTAATTTTTCTGAAATAATTCTTTTGCAGATTTCCTACCCATCGGCCTTTTACCCCTTGCAGAGACACTACCCTCACCAACAGTTAGATTGTTACCAACACTTGGACTGGTGTCCTCTTCAAGAGAAATGCAATTATCCATAGGGGAATCGGGGGCTGAATCAAGGGAAAATGGTGTATGTATCCTTGACTTCACCGTATTCGTAGGAGTTACATCTTGCCACCTGATATTGTTTTGCAAGATTGACCAACAATGTTCAAAAGAAAAATGTTTCTTTTCATCTTGATGGTATAAAAGTTTTGCTTGAAGCATCTGTATCAATATTGAATTAAGTATCAATAAAATAAAATAAAATATGAGATCTTACTAGATAAAATAAAATATGTATCAATATTGAATTAAGTAATTATTTAATTTTTATATGAGACGAAACAAAATAAAATAAAAACCAACGTAATAAATGAAGATGAAATCTTACGAAATCAACTTGAGACATCCCACTTGGGTGTAGAATTTCGACTTGCACTAAACATCCACGAAATTTGTTAGAACATTTCATGATTGTACCCCATCGAGATTGGATAGAAACTTGTGTTCTTGACTGATCATTCTGAAGGGAGTAATAATTTTCATAAATTCTCCCCCAAAAGTGAGTATAAGATTGTGAATTACCAATAATTGGATCTTCAGAAATGTGACACCAAGCTTTACAAAGTGCCATATCTTCAGCAATGGTGAATGATTTTCCTCTCTTTATTTTTGATGAACCTTCCATACCGATTGTGTAAAGAAAATATAAATAAAAATAAAAATGTAATTTAGAAAATTTGTTATGAAATAAAATTGAGTAAAAAGAGAGCACAAAATGTTTGTATTTATAGAAAAAGAAGAAAAAAAAAAGAGCCGTTTTCTTTTATAGTCGTTTTAACATAAAAAAAAGAGCCTTTTTTTTGTAGCCGGTTTGTATTCATCCCTTTTCTTTATAGCCGTTGTAGATATGTTTCAATTATGTTTCTATTTAATTTTTATTTTTTTTAATGAATAAAGTAACCCAGGTTCAATAAACTTTAGGAAAGTTTCCAGATCACTCTTGAGAGAGAGAGAGCTTCGAAAATTGAGAGAGAGAGAGAGAGAGAGAGAGCTTCGGATGAGTGAAGATCAGAGGGAAGAGGGAAGGTCAGAGGGAAGATCAGCGCTTCGGATGAGTGAAGATCAGAAGGAGAGACCTTCGGATGAACTTCGGATCAGCTTTAGATCAATGAAGATGAACTTCCAACCCTTTTCAACCCACGGATCAGTGAAGATTTTTTTCGGATCAGTGAACTTCAACCCTCAGATCAGGTATTTTTCTTGGATTATTTGAGATTACCTCTCATTAATCTTGCTCCTTCTACGCTGCTCTGTCTCCGAATGCTTCTACGCTGCTCTCACCATTTCCAACCTGCTCCAATTCTTCAGCCCCGATCTCCTGCAAATTTGCAGCAAAAAAAATTCGTATATATTTATATATATACATAGAGAGAGAGAGAGAGAGAGAGACGAATGCCCTAACTTTCTTCTTCTCCGAGAGGGGGGGTCTGGGAAACAAAATTAAATTCGTATATATTAAATAATACACTAATGGATTATTTGAGAAATTAATGGATTATTTGAGAAATTAATTTGAGATTATTTATGTTCGTTTTCCTGAAATTTTTTAAATCTGTTATTGAATATTGATGAATTCTAGTATGAATTTGATGAATTTGATAAAATCTTTTTAAATCTGTTTTTGGTATGAATTTGATGAATTTGCTGAATATTGATGAATTCTGGAATATTGATGAATTCTTGTTCATTCTTGTTGAATATTGATGAATTTGATGAATATTGATGGATAAAACTTAGTGAATATTCATGAATTTGTTCATTCTTGTTCATTCATGAATATTGATGAATCTGGAAAATCCCAACCGAAAGGGAAGGAGGGAAGAGAGAAAACAGTTAATTTTGGGTGACTTGGCAGATTTGGCAGCTGCCAAAGTAGTTGCCAAATTTGGCACTTGATTTGGTAGTTGCCAAATTTGGCAGCTGTTATAGCATACCATTGAAGAAGCCAAGATTGTTCAAGCTGCCATATTATGGCTTTGGCAGCTGATTTAGCCATCCATTGGAGATGCTCTAAATGAGTAAGAAAGTTTCATGTGTTTTGCAATTTATAAATAATAATAAAAATTATTTATTTATGGTGTCAACATATTGACTCACTGTAGGGCCGACACTGACTTTTTTGGGGCCCAAGGAGAACTCAAAAAATGGGCCCTAACTTTCAAACAGATTTTTATATTATGATAAATTTTGAATATTTTCGATTGTTAACATTATTAGTTTATTCACATTTTTTCGTAACATAGTAGATTCAATTGTAAAATTTGATAATTTCAACTTTAAAAAAAATCTCAAAACTTAAAAAAAAAAAAAAAAAAAAAGAAAAAAGATACTTAAAAAAAATCTTATTTCTCTAGAGACAATTGTAACTGGTATAGTTAGATAATATTCTATAAATAATTCATACATTTGGAAAACACTCATCCAATATTTTTAAATAATTCACCAATTCAATAGTTTGAAAATTTTTGTAAACTTTATTTTTAAACTACTAATATATGATTGAAATAAAATTAAATTGAATAAAGTGATCATTTCTTAATCTCTTTATAGAATAAACTATTCCCCCATAATGATGAATGATAATTTCATTTTTGATATTTTTTTTATTATTTTCAGTAAATCAAATGTGAAGATGAAAATTATGATATTTTATTTCAATGAATCAAACATAATTTAAGATTTAAAATTATTTGAGACCTCTATTTTTTAAACAAAATTTGAGAGCTCAAGATGATAACCTTACTTGCCACAAGGCCAGCGTGACTCACTATCATGTTGATAACAAGATTGGCCTCCATCTTTATTATAGCACTCTGAGTTTTTCTTCATTACTCGAGCTATAGATTGGTCACTCGAGCGGTTTCGCGAGTCTTCCAAAACTTTTGCAGGCTTGTGATTCTGAGAGTTGTTGATCTTAGTTCGAGCGTAGGTTTGGTCACCCGAGCGGTTTGCCTTGAGTGGTCTAAACTTCTGAGAGTTCGTATTCTTCACTCAAGCGCAAGTTTGGTCACTTGAGTTGTCTATCCGATTCAGCTTCTATAAAAGTCACTTTTAGTCACTTTTGAATCACTTCTCTCTCTCTCCCCTCCATTGTTGAACTCCCAAGCTCTTTACACTTGGTTTCATCTACTTTACTCATCTTTCACCTATAATCCTTTAGACCAAAACGTAAAGGGTCGCGAGAGCATCATTTTAATCTGAGCAGATCGTGTTTTCATCGTTGTGGATTTTTTGGTTTTCTCCTCATCGTTTCTAGAGGTAGGAATTCCTTTGTTTCTCTCAATACCTCGTCGTTTCTAGACATGTGGTAGATTTTATTCCATAAAAAGTACGTTCATTATAAATTTTCGAAAAGCATGTAAAAGGCATCTAGGGTTTGAATGTTTGGAGTTGAAATTGTAAAATTGATGGTTGTTTGGGGTAATTGGGGAGTAGTTCAATGTGTTTATGTTGTGAAGAAGTGAAAGACCTAATTTAATAATTTGACCTAATGAATTATAAAGGGGTAAAGTTGAATAAGAGATAGGGGATGGACTCCATCGATACAGCAAAAATGTGTATCTATTGAAGTATTGATACAGCAAATCTGTGTATCATGTATGAAGTACGGAAGTGTTTTATTTGAGATTGATACAGCAATTATGTGTATCTAATGTAAAGTACGAAGTGTTTAATTTGAGTTGTTATCTCAATTGAAATGGAAGTAATGTTGATATGAGATGTAATCTCATTTAAATTGTTTGGCCAGCTTCTGAGCCATTGTTATGAATTGGGAAATTAGATAAGAAATGGAAAGTGGAACGTAGCATGGACATAATTGTCACGGAACTGTATTGTGATGTAATTGGATTATAAGTGTTAACCATCTATCAAATGCTATTGTTTTAGTCATTGCTTATAT